AATAATTTTGAAGACTTGATGAAAGGGACGTTTTACCCATCTATCAACAAAGCTGGGCCGAGCCGAACGCTTTCATATCGTAGTTGAAGCAAATTAGCGCCCACTCGACATTTATGTAGGGTCAGCGGGTAAATACATACTTTTTATTTGCACCTTTGATTCTTCCAAAAAAATGTTTTATTTTTCGTTTATCTCACATATTATGAGGTACTAACTACCTTCTATGTCAGACCCTCGCCAGTCTCTATAAATCCCAAATCTAAGTAACTGTCGTGGTGCTTTCGCTTCCTAGATATTCTCCACTTCCACTGGCTGTTTGACCTGTTTCTATTCGGACACTTGTAGAAGTTGAGCATGCTGGATCCTGCTGTGGTGCTTCATCTGAAGGCTGTCCTTCATTTCGCTTGTCGTCAATTACAATTCGGCGCATTCCTGACTGTGTAGGTGTCGGAGAAACTGCGTGTTTCTTCAGAGATCCTGGCTTCAGTCATTGATCCATATTGGAGTAAATTGACCGATCAATGAGAATAACAAAAACATCTGCACCCCAGGGGTTGATATGACCTCTTCTGTACCTAAATGTCAATATCTAAATGTATTAGCATTTATCGTACAACATTTAAGCAAGCCCAAAACCCTGGTATAAAATAAAAATATAATAGCATAACATAAAACTATAATATTGAAGACTGTTATAAGTTCTATTGAAACTTAAGGAAGTCTTCAACTAAACTAGATTTTCTGATCCCGAAGACATTTTCAGATAATGAGACGGTTTGACATTTCCGATGCGTTTCCTCAGAGGACAGCTGGGTTACACGTGTAGCAGAATGCACAAACGAGCTAAGGAACAATATATATAAATAGAACTGCATTTTGATGTATAGTTTGACCGCGCGCTTCGTTCAATTCACGTTTTTTTTATTTTTTTTTTTTTCAATTTTCAGTTTGTTAAGAAAAAGACATTTTTGGTTACTGAAATAGTGGTAATATGATCTGACAGGCTGCATTCAGTTTTTCTAAGCTCAACACCCGCCTCTTCGGAAGCGGAATAGAGGATAGGAAATAAAAGAGAGGATGTGCGGCTAATGGCACCGGGCACCGGATAGTTAACAACCTTCCTTCCTCCTCCGCTCATGCACCTCGCCGACAAACGACCGACCAGTTTGTACCGAATCGTGAAATTTCTAATATCCACGGGTTGTCGTCTCACCGAGTCGAGAATCTACATTCTATCTCTTCGGCCATACGAAACTCGGCCCTTCTCGATGTAAAAGAAAATTATAATAGCTATAAATTTTCCCCTTGCTAACAGATCTTAAGCAAAAAGTCTTGAGCAAATGTCAACATATTTACCTTATATTGATTCTTATTTTTAATGCTAAAACTAATCTTACTTTAGAAAACCGAAAGAGTAGGAGGAAGAGGAGAGAGAAAAGAGAGAGAGGGAGAAAAAAGGAAAGAGATAGAAAAGAAAGAGAAAGAGAGGAGAGAGAGAGAGGGAGATGGAGATAAAAGGAGAGACAGAAAGTACAAAGAGAAGGAGAAAAGAGGAGTGACATAGAAAAGACAGAGATAGAAAGAGCGAGAGAGAGGGAGACGCAGAGAAAGAGAGAGAGAGAGACACAGAGAGAGAGAGAGAGAGAGAGAGAGAGAGAGAGAGAGAGAGAGAGGACAAAAAAAAGTGGAGAGAGAAAAGAGGAAGAGGGAGAAAAGAGGAAAGACATAGAAGAGAGAGAGAGAGAGAGAGGAAGGGAGGGAAAGGGAGATGGAGATAAAAGGAGAGACAGAAAGTAGAAAGATAAGGAGAAAAGAGGAGAGAGATAGAAAAGAAAGAGATAGAAAAGACAGAGAGAGAAGGAGAAAATAGGAGAGAGATAGAAAAGAAAGAAAGAAAGAAAGATAGATAGATAGATAGATAGATAGATAGATAGATAGATAGAGAAAGATAGATAGATAGATAGATAGATAGATAGATAGATATANAGAGAGAGAGAGAGAGAGAGAGAGAGAGAGAGAGAGAGAGAGAGAGAGAGAGAGAAATATAATTAATATTAATGATTAAGCCTGAACACATATTCTCACAATGTTAAAAATTAAAAATTTTAAACTAAAACGTTCCCTCTAAAAAACCAGGAATGTGGTCAGTCAAAAGTTTATTCGCCCTCCTGTTTTGACTTTCAAATCCGTGTTTTTTTATAGTTTTTTTTTCTCTCAGAAAACAGACATCTTCATTTCGATCTTAAAAACACTTTTCTTGTTTAGCATTAGGAAACTATTGCACGATCTTCATCGTGATTCGCGATCACGAATCCAAAGGGGGCGAAATAAGTGAAAGTCAAAGCGTTTGATTTTTTTTGTATGAAAAAAATCGGTCTTCATTCTCTTTTTCAGGTTGACCTCACAATGGAACCGACAACGTATAACTGCCGACTACGAACAATTTAGTCAAAACAAAACGGGGTAAAATAGTACTGTTTTACATGGATTTGTGCCTGGAGGCAGAACTCGCCTAGTTGTTTGAATAATGAGCGCTGCTAACTCGTTCAACAGATATAAATGTCGACTGTCGTTGAGATGGAGAGTTAACGACCAAACATTCAACATTGAGGCAATGGGACCAGAATCGTTTTAGAGTAAAGGACAGAGTTGAAGAGTTGAAAATTTTCAATTGGAATTCGTCCGGGCTTCTATTCCTGGTTTTATCAGTATCAGTTTAATCAAACAACTGCCACGAAATATTTATTGTACTCCTGCTGTGGAGTAGAAACTATAAACGTCGAAGAAAGGAGCGAGGCGAGAGGTCATCAGAGACTAGTACGGATTCTTCTTGGAAGAAGGCGTTCGAAGCTGCACACAGCTTGACAGAAAGCCCGCTAGATGGAATAGGACTGTCAACCACTCCATACTTTGATCTTTCATCTTACACTCGAAAACATTTGCGTTATTACCGTCGAACTAAACTCTACTTTTCCTGTAACAAGTATGAAAATGCCATAATGATTCTGCCTGGAAAGTATTGTTTTATTTGCCAAAAACTTAAATTTGAATCGATTTAGTCTTCAACCGGTGTTAACAAATTAATAATTTAAATAATTTAATGCCTAATGAAATGAGGAAGAAGTTCAGTTAAATTATTTTTCTAATAATATTATTGTGCAGTAATATACACATGTCATTATGTTGTTCATACATATTATTATTTTAAATTTTTTTCAGGCAAATTATTGTGGGCAGAGCGTTTTACAGTAACTACCTGGATACAAAATCAGGCTACACTTCGTACATTTATAAAGGTTTTTTTTTCTACAACCGATCACTTCCGTCAAAAGTTTTTTGATTTTTCAGACTTAAGTACTCGCTGTTGTGGTTCTCCACTCTAGGTCTAGAGGCTCAATACTCCTCACTTCGTCTTCAATCTTGGCGCGTTCTAGGGTACTCCATCCTGACAGGCAAAAAATTCCACTCAAATGATGTTTCATTTTCTCGATAAAGAAAATTCTGCCCCTTGTCTCGTTGTTTATACCAATAAATTACTTGTTTATGCTACGTTTTATATTGGGAATACGAATTAGAGATAAACATACTTAATCCTTAATCCAAATCAAAGATAAAGGAGTTTTCATTGTTTACTTTTTACGGAATTGAAAATGTTTATTCAGTCTCATTTGAATTATGAAGCAATAAACGGTTTTATTTTCATCTTTGATTTCTTAATTTCACTTTTTAAATTTAAAAATTCTACTCAGTGCTGAGGATGTTGCGCGTGGTGTGGCATTATTCATCATGGACGTTCCATCAGGTATGCGGCTATTGCCATCGGAGTTCCCGACGAAACACTCCGAGACGCCATTAGACGAAAAACTGGGTCCTACCATAGAAAACCCGGTTCTGGACGCCCTAAGGTAACAGAACCATTCGAAGACAGTTTTTTGACTGAGAATTTTGCGAAACCGGCACTTTACTGTTGTTCAAGCGATTCATCAGCTCCAGGAAGTTCGAGGTGTTCAAAATCCTGAACGCACTGCTCGAAGAAGATTAAATCAGTATGGACCGATGGTTTTTCGCCACGTAAGACGACCAGAATTGACCAGAACACTGAGTTGCCGGCTCGTGTTTGCTCGAGAACACAGCCATTGGTCTTTGGACGATTGGTCTGCTGTACTTTTTACAGATGAGTATAGATTTGCTCTACGATCTCCAGACGGGCGTGGAAGAGTGTGGAGAAGGCGAAACGAAAGGTGCGAAGCATGTAATTTTGCCCAGAGTCAATCTTATCAACATAGATCTGTGATGGTGTGGGCGGGAATTTAAATGGAGAGTCGCACAGAGTTGGTTATTGTTCGTGAGGGTCTTTGACGGCACTCGCTATGTGGATGAAATTTTTGATGAAATTTTGCCTATCCTCGATGGAATCACCGTTTTAATTTATAGACGAGTCCAGAACTTATCAAAAGATTTGTTTTCCTTCAAGAGATTTTTCTATTACGTTCGTTACTCGTTGAATTTGGTCAATTTTAGAATATCTTGTTCGGAATCCAAATTGGTGGTCAGGGATGACTTTCTTTTTTTCTACAACGAGTTTTATTTATTTTAGTAATAACTTTTCTATGAGCTTAGAGACTGTCGATAGTAGCTATATTGATCTACAGGATTTGTCCTCGCCGGTTTTCCTGTTGTTTTTTTTTACCATAGTTTTGCAAATTTCCAGGTGTTGGGAACAATAATAACATAATATGTTAGTTTAACTAACCCCTTTTTCGGCAATTTTTGAAATATTTCGTTAGTTATAAGGTCTTATCTTGGAGACTTTTTAGGAGTATACTGCGTCCATCTTGCCAGGCGCGTTAGCTAGGCTTAGACGCTTTACATACTTAACTTCAACGAGATGGGACGTTTTCCTTTTATTTGTCTCTCTTATTACGATCAAATAAATTATAAGTATTTTTTCAGACTCTACACAATGTAATCAGAGTGTTTAACAGTTGGTTATTTTCCAGACGGAATCGGCCAGTCGAACTACGTATACCTGGAGACGATTGTTGAAGAAACATCGGACGACCTCAGATCCGAATCGGATTATTCTGAAGCCGGGGGAGGTTGGCCGGATACCGATTCAGACGCAGACAGCGTAATCCATGTGCCCAATGCTTTAGGTAATTGCCATTTTATTAATAATTTAAAACAGCTTTTTTACCGCGGATTGATAAGTTTCGCAATCATATTTAATTAAAGACACTTCACTTTTTCAACCATTCATCCATGTTTTCTACCTTTTTCGGTTGTTTTTTCTTCATTTTCTGTCAAACGAGTAATAAATATCGCAGTATTTTTTACATTTCCAGTTCCCACTGTATTGTTTATTATTCAGAAATCGTGAGATGCGTTCTGGTGTCACACGAGACCGCATCTCACGATTTCTGAATAATTATCGATTAACGGTCACTAATCACTACACATTTCTATTGTTTATACTGCTTAGTGATTTTCATTATTTTGCTCTTCCCGTATTCCATTTAGTCTCGACTGGAAGACTCCGAATTGGGATATGTGGTCATTTTTTTCTTCTGCTGTTTTAAAATCACACAACTCATATTTTTATGATGTATTAATAATTTATTTAATAATACCTGTTAATTGAAAAATGGTGGTGATATTTTAAGTTTACCTGTTATTAATTCATATAATTAAATGTGTCGTGTATAGTGACCATTCTAAGGCGCTCTCAACACGACTGACAAGAATGACACATCTACACGGAAACAAACACTTTGAGCCCTGAAGATGATCTCAATAAAGATCGAAACGTTGCACGATAAAGAAAATGTTTGTCTAAAACCTACGTCAAACCAGACCGCATGTCACGATCTCCGAATAATGAGATTATTCCAATTAAAGTTGGAATTGGGACTAAGAACAGTCAACTATCAAGATACAACTTATTCTGAATTTATCCAAGTGTTTAATTTTGTTGTTTTTAAAAAATTGATATTTGGTAGACTTGTGATATTATCCTTAAGAATTTTGTAAGTTTATTTATCTTAAGATCTTTACACATAATACCTGAGATTTACTTATTAATATGTAAAGATTTGTCATAGAACTCACATATAGACTTTATTGAATAAGAGATCTATGTATATGCTAATTCAAAAAAGTAGATAATTTATTGGGTTGTCCGGAAAATAATGCAGGATTTTAAGTTTTCATTAAAAAAAATCTATATAAAATATTCTGTTTACGTTTACAGGATTACTCATTTGTATGAATGTCAACACTTATTAATCCTCTTCCAAATGATATTGTTTGTTTACCTCTGTAGCATTCCGCTACTTGGAAATAATTCAGTCATCCTTATAATGTCAAAGCGAGAATTTCGTACGATTTTCTTTTACGAGTTTAAACTCGGCCGAAGCGGAGCCCAAACGGCTAGAAACATTAACCAAGTCTGGGGCGAGGGTTGTGTTAATGAGTGCACTGTGCAAAGGTGGTTTAAAAAATTTCGGGAGGGAGATTTCAGCCTTGAAGATGAAGAAGGTCGTGGAAGGCCTTCCTCTCTTAATGATGATGTTCTGCGATCAGTGGTGGAAGAAAACCCCAAAACAACTGTTCGAGAACTTGCAGAGCAACTCAAAGTCAGTAAAACGACCGTCGCTGACCACCTCAAGGCGATTGGAAAAGTGAAAAAACTCGACAATTGGGTTCCACACTCATTAAACGATCGCCAAAAAAATCAGCGCTTTGATGTTTGTGCATCACTTCTTTGTCGAAACAAAAATGACCCATTTCTGGCCAGAATTGTTACATGTGACGAAAAGTGGATTCTGGACAGTGGCTCGACAAAGGAGAAGCTCCAATACATTTTCCAAAGCCCCCAACTCATCAAAAAAAGGTAATGGTTACGGTATGGTGGGCTTCATTTGGTTTAATACACTACAGCTTCTTAAATCCTGGCGAAACCATCAATGCTGAATCATACTGTAACCAAATTAATACCATGCATCAGAAATTGGCAGTAATGAAGCCCTCTTTGGTCAATCGGAAAGGGCCCATTTTGTTGCATGACAACGCTCGACCACATGTGTCACGTGTAACGTCACAAAAATTATTGGAGCTTGGCTATGAAACTTTGCCTCACCCACCCTACTCTCCGGACCTCTCGCCTACTGACTACCATTTTTTTAGACACCTGGACCACTACTTACAACACATAATATTCAAAAATCAAACGGAACTGGAAAATGCATTTATTGACTTTATCAATTCTAAAAATTCTGAATTCTACTCAGACGGAATTAATAAGTTACCAACACGTTGGGAGAAATGTATTGAGAGTATGGGAAATTATTTTGATTAAAGAACATTGCTTTAAAGTAACTAGTTTCTTTTTTTTTGTTTAATACCAAAATCCTGCATTATTTTCCGGACAACCCAATAGTATAGCCTTCTAAGTAATTAGGCTGTAACATTGCGATTAATCTGATATAAATGTGCGTAAATGTAGGCCCTGAGGAAGGAGAAACTATATCAAGGAAAGTTCGACAAAAGAGACTATTGGCAGTTGACTATCACCAGTACCTGATTTCCTCCCAACATTTGATCTGTAGTCGATCGTACATTCAACAAATTAAAAAAATGTGTTTCTGAAAGGGCTCAGAAAAGTAGAATTGGGTCTTGCTGCAGTACTTTATTATCAATCTGTGTGCCACAGGGTATATTGGTTCTCAGTCTTGCTCGACATCCTGACCCCGGATGAGGATCTTTTAAGACCGCGCCTAGCACTAGGGCCATATCGCTCTGGATCGTTTCTCAAGAAAGGAGCTTCCGTCTACGGTGGGAAGTGCAACACCGTAGGTGTTTCTTTCTGCAGGGGTAGGTCGGCAGACCGCCCGACCAGCGTCCAGACAATCTACGTAGTGCCACGATCGACAGAGAAGGCAGCTCTATCGAGTGGAGGCACACCCCTAGCGTAGGTACCTTCGACAGACGGGCAGGCAGTTTTTGTTTAAGTGGAATACTACCCACCGTCCAAAAGGTAAAAATTTACCCCCTGGTCTACACTCAAGGAGTCTCACTACGTACCACTACGAATCCGAGCTCAATTGCAAATAGACATGGATAGTTTGCGCCCGTAGTTCAGTTATGCCCGCACAAAGGTCAGGAGTGTGCCTGATTCTACACCGTACATTAAATGTTGCAGGGACCGAAATCAAATCATCGCCGATACCGAATTAGAATCCATTATATTTAGTGGTCTATTGACCAAATTACTTCTTTCAATTAATTAATCTTTTTATGTAAAGTTTTGGTTGAAATGAAAAAGTTAGTGCCACGAGCGGGAATCGAACCCACGATGTTCGGCCAAATACGCCGCTGCTTTACCACTTGAGCTATCGTGACTCCCATCCAATTTGAAAAATGGCAAAAAGGAGGGAAAATTCGAAAGGTTGTAGGTTGAGATGGGGAGTTGGTGTCCGAATGGATCGAAGTCACGGTAGCTCAAGTGGTAGAGCAGCGGCGTATTTAGCGCAAGGTCGTTGGTTCGAATCCCGCTCGTGGCACCAACTTTTTCATTTCAACCAAAACCTTACATAAAAAGATTAATTTGGAATGTTTGACGGGTATGGTATGGTATGGTATGGTAGAAAAGGATACTAGGAAGCGGGGTTTGCACTCCCCGGGCACTGCAGCCTTCTGGCTTATTGTACCTTCCCAGTTCCCTAGTTTAGTCAATAGACTCAATCCTTCTTCTCAGAAGCATCAAGTCATTGACTGTTATTGCTGCAATTTGGTTCCCTGTGTCTTTTTCGTACGCTAGGTTAAACCTCCATTGAGCTGTTGCTTCGGTACGGTGTACTGAAGGCTAAAGTTAGCCTGGATGTCCTCTTACAACGAGGAGGAGGAAATGATATCAGGGGATATGGGTTGGAATGGATTGAGTCAGGGTGTATTAATTCGGCTGGGCGATGGGATCGCCAACCCCTACGCTGTGCCACAGGGTACAGTTTTAGGTCCTTTCTTTTTTATTATTTACATTACGATTTATTAAAATTGAACACTGAATTGAACACCGACTCTCAAACAAATAGCCATGGGCTTAAAAAGCGGTGACGCGCAACCGTTAAGCATCACTGGCTGATCTAATCATACCCAATGACCCACCCAACAGCTGTGCTCCTTTGATCCCTTATCATACTTTGTTCGCCCTATATGCCGCATGCGAATTCTTTCGTAAACCTACAAAAGATTCTCCTAATATGGATGCCAGTCCCCTTTGTTGTTCCACTAATTTTACTCCATCACTAGAGAGGCTGAACACTAAAATTCTGTCGATGCTACACAAGAATGCGGAGTATTGAGATTATTATTAGGAATATCGTACCCGTTTCCCTCAATCAAGACCATCCTGTTTGATGAATTGTGATAATAAATTTACCAGAGTATGGTGAGTCGTTTCCACTTTTTCACATTCTTTCGGTCGATATGCACTCGTTTGTAATTTATGTAAGCGAAATAATTTTTCAAATCTTATTTATTAAAGCAGATATAAAATTTATGGCGTAAGTTGGGAGATGCACTATTGAATTCAGCGTCAAAAAACAACCTACTACAAACATTTCTCCAAGATGTCGAGGGTAGTCTACCAATTTAAATTATACATTGGCGTACAGCAGCGCTATTATATCGCTATTTCTTGATTGGTGAAGATAATTATCACCATATAATTATGAGTTTTATTTCATCGTTAGGAGAGAACTATTTTCGTAATGTCGGATGATATCTGTTATGTTGATATTGCTATCAAATACCATTAACTTCATTATCAGAGTAGATGGTGTGATATATTCCGTAACATTTTAATTTTTAAAATAATTTTTTTAATGCAGAATCTTACACTGAAAATATATCGAACTGATCCAGTAAAACTTTTATAAATATTTGATGGAAAGATGCATTTAATTTAATATCAGGGTTTAAAATCTTACGACTAACAAAAGTATTGTCTAAAAATCATAGTTGTTGTTTTAATTCTACATTTATTATTATATAATTATTAATTTAATATTTTGTAGTTTACGGTAGTTTAATTTTTTATTTGCACTGCTGTTTCTGAGTTAGGTGAGGCAACGAGTTCTCGGAGATCAGACCGATACAA